CCACTGTTAGTATCACTGAACAAAAAAAAAAAATAAAAAAAATAAAAAAAAGATAGGACACTGTTAAAAAATAAATCAGATGAGATGAGGAGGAGCTAAACTGTAGCTTTGACAGTAAAGATGTGGCAATGGAGATAAAGATAAGAGAGATAACAGAAAGGAAAACATTTTAAGATTTTAGTGACTGATTGAATGCAGGGGGTGAAGGAGCAGAAAGAATGAAAGATAACACTGAAATCCTTGCCTGGAAAGAGATGGGGAATATGGGTGCAAAAGCAGGTTGTTGGGCAAAGACAATGAGTTCTGTTTTTGACATACTAGTTTTCAGATACCTGTGGAGATATACAGTAGATCAATAGGTATATATGTTTAGAACACAGGGAGAGACTGAAACTAGATACAGAGAAGTAATCACCTCATTATGATATATTTTTCTATTAATATTTCACATTCTCTTCCTAAATTGAAATTATCTTTTCATGTGTCTATCACTCTTAACTAGACTGAATATTCCTTGAGACCTCAGGGCCATGTTTTACTTATCTTCTTATCCCATAAAACGTGAGTATAACAAGGGCAGACTATATGTTCAATTAAGTATTTGCTGAATGAATAAACGACTATATGAATAAATTTATTTGTTCTCCCAGCACTTAACGAAGTGCCTGACACACAACAGATATGGAATAAATGGTTAGCACAGCCTCCTAAACATGTTGCTACCTGAACATCATCATCTTCATCTGTTTCACCCACTCAGACCTACCACTCAGCTACATGTCATTAACCAAAATCCATTACATGTAATGCACTACTATTTCAACAAAGAGTTTGGCAAACAACAGCAAAGAATAAGCTTACCAAATCCAGTGCTTTCTCCAACATAATGAAGAATTTGGACAGCCCCTAAGAACCCTCTGACATTTGACTTGATTCATCCTATCATTATCATGATGTGATCCACTATCAGGATGTGATCCAAGTATTAAGTGTAACTGTTCCAATGTTATTGCCATAGTATTAAACATAACCCTCATCCCTTCTAAGTCCCTCAGTCTCCTTTAAAAATCAACTAATTAAAAAATCATAAAAAAATGTTCCTACATCACCTTTACTCTCTGTTACAAATCTTCTTTCCCCAAGTTACCCTCACTCTCAGGGAACCAAATTTGGGGTCCAGCTTTGCCATTTTATGCCTATGTGATCTCTGGCTTCTGAATTGGATTCCTCATCTATAAAATGAGAATTCTTGTTTTTGCCTATAAGATATCTATGTAAATCCAGTAACATCTGAAATTGCTATGTAGAACATGAATGCTGTTCAGATGTCAGAAGTTATACAGAATTACTTTATGAATGTATGCTTCCTCAACCTAATACAACAGCCACACCATCATCACTCTAAATTTCTGGAGTTCATAAACCAGTAGAAATAATTTTTTTTAATTTAAAAACTGAAATAGGTTGTCACTCTTTATTTTGGCAAATAAGACCATTTTATAAAAACCCACTATCTACTGTCACCATTATTTCATCAGTGAAAGAACATTTCAACACCAGAAGAATAGGAATGATAATCTTAGGATAAATTTATCTTCAAGAAAAACTCACTAAGCTGTCTTTATTTCTCTCCTTCTATCTTGGATAGATGAAAACTTTATCATGGACCAGGTTCTTGGCTGTGTTTAGGAACCACTGCTCTAACTCTGAATGGAATCTTATAGGGTTCTGACTGGCAGGCTGCCAAGGGTTCCACCAGTATGAGACCTGTTTGGCCTCCAGAGAGAAGCAATGAAAACATACCACAGGATACAACAGTTGGTTCTGAGGCTGAGTTTCTGGAATAGAATGGAGAATGAGGCTGCCTAATTCTCAGGGAATGGTCTGGATAAGAAAGGCCTAATTTCTTCCTGAGTTTAGAAAGAGTCAAGATGTCTCAGCTCTACAGTGTGAACATGGCCATCATTACTGAGAGCCAATCTAACTTTCCAGGATTTTCAAACTTTCCATGTGCATATGAGTTGGTGGGGCGAAGGGGATCTGTACAATGCTAATAAAGTGAACCCAATTACAGGATGTGGAGGGAGGGATGATTGCAAAGAGTTAGGAAAAAACTTTGAGGATGAGAAGAAATGCTCAGTATCTTGAGAGTGATGGTTTCATCAAACATGTACACTTTAAATATGAGCAGTTTACTGTACATAAATTTATCTCAATAAAGTAATTTTTTTTTCAAAAAAAATTAACTATAAGAAAAAAACAGTAAGGCCATCTTGGTGGGAGCCAAAATATAGTGTTGTATGTGACTAACCATGTGACCTCCATGAAAGTAGAATTAGCAACTAAAAGTGGTCAATCCAAAGACCCACAGTTCAGCACAGGCAAGTAGCAGCTGTGGAGGAAGGTTGTCCAGAAGCAGATGGAGAGAAACAAAACTAAGGAGTCATAGCCATAAACCTTCATGAGAGGGCCCACCTTCAAGTACGCAGTCTACAGAAGGAACTTGAGGGAACTGGGGTTCCAGTGATTACTCTGAAAACTGCACATCAAATACGATTTTCATCACTGTGGTTATTACACTATCGCCCATGAAGGCTTCACTGTTTTGTACTACAAAATATGTAGAGTTCACAGGAGCAGGGGTGTCAAGTGCACAACACTTCCAGCCAAGCTGCCCTGCTTAGTCTAAAACTATTGCACTAGGCAGGTCAGGCCATCGAAGGAGGCCTCAGAACCAACCTTTCACCCTTATCCAAGTCTCACAATCCTCATTCCCTACTCTCATGCCCTGCCTTCAACTCTCTCACCAATTCATCACCCCGCAAGTTCTCGCCTTCGCCCTTACTCTTCCCCTCCTCACACAGACCTGAACCCCTCAGTCTGATGGTAGGGCTGTCCCTCACCCCTACCCTCAGTAGCCCCAGTCCCTTAGTGTTCAGGAGTCCCTTCAACTTGGCCCCTAGGAAGGCATCGGAGCCCCTCATATAGCCAGCCCTGTACTTGTCCACTCACCTCTAGGCTCTCAGCCTGCTCCGCTACGTTAGACACTCACAACCTGCCCCTCACCACCTGCCAGCCCCTCACCCTGTTCCCTCACAAGTCACCAAACCCGATGCCATCATTTCCCAGTCCCGCATTCCCCCATGGCCCCTCTGGCCTTCCGGCCATGAGTACCGTTCACTCACAGAACGCCGACCCTGGCCAGGCCCGGTCGTAACAGCGCTGCTAGGTGAGTTCAGGCCGCCGCCATCGCTCCTCAAGCTCACCAGCCGCGCCCCGCCCCGCGCCACACGCAGCCCGCACCCCAGCGCACCACACGTAACCGCCCAGCGACGCACGACTAGGCAATGGCGTACCAGCTCATTGGTTGGACCTAGCCAAAACTGGAGCGTCGACGCTTGTTTCCTGGCAACGGTCGAGCGAAGGAGCGGGGTCGTGACGCCATTCCGAGGAAGGAGTACCGCCTCTCCCCTAGGTTCCGCCCCTTCGTGCTGTAAACCCCGCCCCTCAGAAGGACTCCGGCGTGTCATAGGGGAAGACCTCTGGGGAGGCGGAGGCCCGCGGGGGCCGGGTGGAGCCTGGGAAGGAAAGGTCGAACCGGAGGGCAGAAGGCGGGACCGAAGGAGGGACGCGACACTTAAAGGAAAGACCAGAGGGGCGGAGCTTAGGAGAGAGACGAGAACGGAAGAAACACTAGAGCGAAGGGGCGGGGCCACGGGCCCTGGGCGGTGCTTAGAGTGGACGGGTGGGCCTGGAAGGGGCTGGACTAGCACGAAAGGGGGGGTCTGAAGGGAGGAGTCAGCAGAAGTTCGGAGGGAGAGTCTGTAAAAGAGCCGAGCCCTAAAGAGGACTGACTGCAATCAGGTTCATTTTATACCCACCTTCCTGCATGGCTGGAACTCTACTTTGGTACCCTAGCGGTGACCGCCCTGGGCTCCCCTAACACCTATGTGCTGTGTTGCTCTTGTGACCCATTAGGAACCATCTCAGAAAAAGTGCCTACATGTCAGGCTGTATTCCAGATTAGTTAGAACCAGTCTGCCATTCAGGACTTCAGCCCTTTAACCAGACACAGACAATTGCAACGTAGTGTAATAAGTTCTACGGTAGAACAGGCATCTAGAAACAGCACTTAGCGTGATTTGAGTATGTAGAGAATGAGGGGAAGGAAAGCGAAGGGATTTAGGGAAAAATTCCAGCAGGAGCTGAGTCTTGGGAATCAAGCAAAAGTAAGATAAACTAAGAGAAATGAAAGTTTTGGATAAGGTCTGTAGTTTAAAGTATTGTATCAGTGTTGAATACATGTATTTGATCATTGTACTGTGGTTGTGTAAGATGATAACATTAGGGGAACATGGGTAAGGAGTTTAGAAGAACTCTCTATTATTTTTGCAACTTTTCTGTAAGCCTAAAATTAGTTCGAAATAAAAAATATTTAAAAAGAAATAGAAGTTTCAACCGAAAGGATCAGCATACACCAAGGCAAGGAATAATAGACAACAGGGAGGAGTGTTCTGTGAACCGCAATAAGTACATTGTATCTAAAGCCTAGGGAACATGCAGAGGAAACATTGTGAGATGAGGCTGAAGATACAGACAGGCATCAGGTACTGGTGAGTTTTGTTAAGCATGTTAAGGTATTTAGATTTTCTCCTTGGGATGATAGAGAGCTATAAAGAATTTTATGCATGGCCATATTGATAGTGAAGGATCCTTAATAAAAGACCAGACAAGCACTGATAAGGCCCAAAGTAGAGTTGTAAAAATGCAGAGAAGTAGACATGTGGACATTAGAAGGTAGGTCACTAGGGCTTGATAACTGGGTGAATATGAAAGGAAAAATAAGAGGAAGGATTAAAAATTGATTCTTAGCTTATATACATTTGAAAATAGGCAAAACTAAACTAGGGCACTAGAAGTCAGGATAGTGATTATCCTTGGAAAAGCATTGACTAGAAGCGGGCAGCGTAAGGCTCCTGAGGCACTGGTAAGTTGTTTCTCAATCTGAGTGCTGTTATATAGGTATGTTGAGTTCATGAAAATTTATCAAGCTATATATGGTACTTAGGAAATGTGCATCTTTTTATGTATTTGTTTGTTCTGATTACTATGCTGTGTAACAAAGCACCCCAAATTTAGTGTCACAAAACAATAGCCATTTTTTATGCTCAAAGATTCTGAAAATTCATAGAAGACACAGCAGCAATGGCTTATCTCTATCCCATGACATCTGCAGCCTCATCTAGAAAGCCCCAACACCCGGAATTGACTTGAGGCTGATGGCTGGAACCATATGGAGGCTTCTTCAATCACATGTCTAGTGTCTGAGCTGGGACAACTCAAAGGCTGAACTCAGCCAAGAACAGTCAAACAGAGCTTCTCAAAATGTGGTGGCTAGGTTCCAAGGGGGAACATCCTGAAAGGGAGCTACCAGACAACAAGCATGTCAAGAGAACCAGAAGGAAGCTGCATGGCCTTTTATGATCTAGCCTTAGAAGTCACAAAACACCACTCCTGCTATACTCTATTGGTTGAAACAGTCACAAAGTAGCAGTGTCAAAGAATTTGTGGCCATTTTTTAAAAACTGCCACAATGTTATACAATAACAATAATAAATACTAGTCCTAGGTTTTTGGATTAAAGGACACAGATAGGAATTATAAGAGAAAAAGTAGGTAAGCGAATATAATGAGCTCAGTTATAGACCCAGTGAGTTGAAGGTGACTGTGGGATATCCAAGTGGGGCCATCTAGTAAGTAGTTTGCAATGTAGGTAACTGCCACTCAGGGAAGTTCCTGGGAGACATTGGATGAGAAATGAAGTCCTGTGGGTGATGGAGATCAACCAGAAATAGTTAGGAGGATGGAAAAAGAGGAAAGCCTAAAACAAAGACCTTAAAAACACTACATAGAAGGATGGGCAGAGGATCTTATGAAAGAGACTAAGGAGAAATAAACAGAAGACTAAGAAATTATGGCATTGCAAAAGATTTGAATCCTTTTGTGGCATTATTTTGAATATTATCTTTTCATTTTAATAAAGTTATAATACTTTTTAAAAAGAAATTATGGCATCACAGAACAACACAAATCTGATCCTATCACTTAATTGTGCAAAACACTTCACAGAGTCTCCATTGCCTTTGGGTAAAAGCCAAGCTTTATAACATGGCTGACAAAACTCTTCTTCAGCTGGCCTCTGTCTATCATTCAGCTTCATCTCTCACCACTATCCCCCAGTTCCTCTAAAATAAGCCAAATGATGTTCCCCCAGTCACCCCTGCTTTTTGATGTCTCTATTCCTTTGCATATTCTGTGCACTCTATCTCTAATATTCTTCACCTTCCCATCTCTATACCTAACTCTTATTCATCCTATAGCACCCAGGCTCAGTTGGAAACCCTTCCCATGTACTGTAATAGACTTCTGTGTATCCACCTAATAGAGTACTCATCAGTACCCTGGCAACAACTGCCCCTGTGTAATTTCCTGATGTGTAACTGCCTGTCTACCTATTTTCCCCTACCAGACTGTGAACGTCTAGAGGCCAGGGAGTGTGTCTCATTCACCTTTAATCCTCAGGATTTAGCACAATATTGGCGTGGCATATAGTGGGTGTTCTGGTTTTGACTTGTTGACTGAGAAAGATGATAGTAGACAAAGGTACATCAGGTTAAGGGAGAATTTAGAGGGTTTTTGTTTGTTTGGGTATGAAAGATATTAAAGCATGTTCACAGAAAGGGAAAAGGTGAAAGAGATTGAGAATACATAGAACACATAGAATACCTGGTGGCAGCAGGTACTAGAGGTAACAAGAAGGGAAAAGGATAAAAGCACCATAGGATGGCCCCCATCACACCATGCAGCAGGAAGGAGGGAAGGCAGACGTGGATGTAGATAAGGCTAGGATACAAGTAAGGATGTAGATAATGAAAACAGAGCTTATGTCTGATGTGGGAGGCATCTGTGTCCCTAGAGACTACTTTAGCACCTGACATAGATGAGCCATTCAGTAAATAGTTGTTAAATAAGTAAATAACGAGGTCCAAGCAGAGAACTTCCAAAATGTCAGAGTGTCTGGGCCTACAGTAAAATTCAGGTTCCCCTGAACTAGAGGACCCTATGTAATTCAGTTTGGGGTGCAGAGAGGGGAGGAGGAAGGCAGAAACAAGGCCCAGGCTTCGTTCTGAGGCGTGCACCTCCCTATCTTCTCCAGAGACCTCATTAGAGGTGTTTAGCTGGGAAGGTGTAAGCACAGGCCCTGGGAGACAGGGCAGGGGACAGGAGCTACACTGTCTCCGCCTCTTCAGTAGCTGCTAGCCCTGGCTGTGTTGCTAAGAGCCTCAAAGACAAAGAAGTCACAGCCGGAACCCAAGGGCAGCTCTTCCAGGCTGTTAGGCACTAGCCCCCACCTCCCAAAGCCGCCTACAGGCAGAGAGGCCCTGGATATCTCACATCCCAGCACCAGGCCACAGAACCATGAGCCAGGACAGCAAAGTGAAGACAACAGAGTCCAGTCCCCCTGCCCCATCCAAGGCCAGGTGAGAAGTCCTGGTCCCCTGGGTTGGATCTGTTCATTTCACTCCACAGAGCCTCATTCCTCTTGGTGCCTCCAGTTGCAACCACAGCATGGAATGTCTGGTGAATAAATAAAGCAAGACCTCCCTTCTTACTCACAGGAAGTCGATACCTGTCCTGGACCCATCTGGGGATTACTACTACTGGTGGCTGAACACGATGGTCTTCCCAGTAATGTATAACCTCATCATTGTCGTGTGCAGGTTTGGCTGGGGCGCTAAGGGAGGGGCCTTAAGCCGACAAGAGCGCTAAAGAGTGAGGCAGAGGAGAGGGGTGGGGCTCTAAAGAGGGGCGGTGCCCATGCAGGGCCCAAGGCCTAGTGCTGAGGGACCTGGGGACACCGCCTCACACACACAGCATGCCCTTAAACCAATCGCTTCTATCCCCGCCCTGCAGAGCCTGCTTTCCCGACTTGCAGCACGGTTATCTGGTGGCCTGGTTGGTGCTGGACTACACAAGTGACTTGCTGTACCTACTGGACATCGTCGTGCGCTTCCACACGGGTCAGTGAGCTCCTCAGATTGACCCTTCGCTCCATGTTCCCGTTCCAAAGAAAGTTTCTTAGTAACAAAAAAGAGCTTCCCTCCCTGATAGCTTTTTCATGTGTCTTTGTGCTTGACACCATCTCCATGCTCGCCCCAGAAACCCTGGAGCCTCCACCCTGTCCCTGTGACCACCTCCCTGTCCCACTCCGGCCTGCCCACCCTCACCCACTGTTGACACCAGCCCGTGCCTCCCTCCCTTTCCCCAGGATACTTAGAACAGGGCATCCTGGTGGTGGACAAGGGTAGGATCTCGCAACGCTACGTTCGCACCTGGAGCTTCTTGCTGGACGTGGCTTCCCTGGTGCCCACGGACGTGGCCTACGTGCGGCTGGGCCCGCACACACCCACGCTGAGGCTGAACCGCTTTCTCCGTGCGCCCCGGCTCTTCGAGGCCTTTGACCGCACAGAGACCCGCACAGCTTACCCGAACGCCTTTCGCATCGCCAAGCTGATGCTTTACATTTTCGTCGTCATCCATTGGAACAGCTGCCTGTACTTTGCGCTGTCCCGGTACCTAGGCTTCGGGCGTGACGTGTGGGTGTACCCGGACCCCGCGCAGCCTGGCTTTGAGCGCCTGCGGCGCCAGTATCTCTACAGCTTTTACTTCTCCACGCTGATCCTGACCACGGTGGGCGACACGCCAATGCCGGCCCAGGAGGAGGAGTACCTCTTCATGGTGGGCGACTTCCTGCTGGCCGTCATGGGTTTCGCCACCATCATGGGTAGCATGAGCTCTGTCATCTACAACATGAACACCGCAGATGCGGCTTTCTACCCAGATCACGCGCTGGTGAAAAAGTACATGAAGCTGCATCGCATCAACCGCCGGCTGGAGCGGCGAGTTATTGACTGGTGAGAAGACCGGGGTTCCAGACCAGGACAGGGACAGGGTACGCAGTAGAACCTGAGGGAGGTGACTAGGTTCGCATTGCTTGTGGGCTAGGCAAGGCAGTCAAAATGTGGCATTCACTGGTGGACTTGGAAAGGAATGTCCTCAACTAGGCGAGTCGGCACTGGGGGGAGGGGTGGGTTAGAGATGGATAGAGAGAGGAGCTCTTGCACAAGGCAGGATAGCACAGAGACCAGGAGTGGGAGCTGCCATTGCGTGGGAGGGCTGCTAAGGCTCTGGAGGGAGGGGGAGAAGGACAATACCACCACCCCCTCCCAGGAGAGGGCCAACCACTAGATGGTTGCCTGTGTGTGATGATAATCTGTACCCTGGACTGAACAAAAGGAAGTGTCACAGAGTTGGGGAACCAGAGCAGAGAGTCTCTAGAGAGGATGGGGGCTTGCTGACTGAAGTAGTTATCAGTGGGGGTGGTACAAGACTTCACAGATTGGTAGGAAGGATAGAGTCTGACAGGAGGTAAAGGATATCTTATTTGTTGTCAAGTGATGAAGGCTTCCATACCCTGGGTGAGGTAGAAGAGGTCAAAACATATCTATGACCAGGAAAGATTAGCCAATTGTCAGGAACTTCCATGCCCCCTGTGAGATCCTCATATGGTTGGACTCTCGGCTGAAGCTGAGCTGAGCCCTGGTGGAAGCGGGTGGAGGCAGGTATGTAGGGGCCTGGTAAGGAAATGACACTGCACTTACTCCCAGGTACCAGCACCTGCACATCAACAAGAAGATGACCAATGAGTTAGCCATCTTACAGCACTTACCCGAGCGGCTGCGAGCTGAAGTGGCTGTATCTGTACACCTGTCTACGCTGAGCCGGGTGCAGATCTTCCAGAACTGCGAGGCCAGCCTGCTGGAGGAGCTAGTGCTAAAGCTGCAGCCGCAGACCTACTCACCAGGCGAATATGTCTGCCGCAAAGGGGACATTGGCCGAGAGATGTACATCATCCGAGAGGGTCAACTGGCTGTGGTGGCAGATGATGGCATCACACAGTATGCTGTGCTTGGTGCAGGACTCTACTTTGGGGAGATCAGTATCATCAACATCAAAGGTGGGCACCTCAGCATTTGTTCCCAGGAAAGGGCTGGGGAGAAGGATAGGGACAGAAGAACCCAGTGCTGTGATCAGATGGTACTTAGGGCCTACAGAGTAAGCAAATCTAGCCCTTACCTGAGTCACTAGATGGCTCAGGAGAGAAGCAGGACATGGAAGATCTGTTCCCAGAGAAGAAGCTGGGCCAAGGTCAGTGAGCAGGCTGCGTCTTGGAAGACAGAGTAGACATGCTCTGTGGCTATTGACCAAAGGCACCAACAGACCAGTGGAAAGTGACAGAGATAATAATAATAGCTACTATTTATTACATGCTTACTACATGCCCTGTTCTAAGTGCTTCACATGTATCAACTCATTAAACTCTCACAGCACCTGTATAAGGTAGTTACTATTTTTATTCCCCTTTTCTTAAATATAAGGAAATCAAATTCAGAGAGGTTTGGTAATTTGCCCAAGGTTACACAGGTACACACAATTGGAATTAGTAGAAAGAACAACTCTCTCACAGCCAACTGGAAAGGTAGAAGAGAAGAAATTCCCGTTTACTGATCATCAATTCTGGGCCAGGCCAGTTACACTACACTGGCTCATTTTTTCTTCTTCTCAGCCCTATGCAGTAGGAGTTGTTATGCCTAATCACAGATAAAGAAACTGGGTCATGGGAGAGGGGAAAGCTTGGAAAGGGGGTGAGTGCACTGTCACTGACTAGGGCTAGATGTGCTCTAGACTGGCTCTCTCAGTCCGAGAGGTCCAACCTCAAGTAGTTCTGAAGGCCTCACATTTGTCCCCCAAAACCCCCTCAAGCTCCACATCCTGTATGTGGTTGGCTGCTGTCTGCTTGACTTTGGACAAGTCACTTCCCTATTCAGATCACAATTTTCTCGCCTACCTAATGAAGATGACATTGAAAACCCAAAGAGTTATTTGTGAGAGTAAATGAGCTATATGGGTGAGACATCCAGTAGTACAGTGCCTGGCACATGGCAAGTGCTCAAGAAATGGTAGCTCCCCTTCCCTTTTCTAAGGTCCTTCTAGCTCTGAGACTTTGTAGCATTCAGCCTATCCTGTCTTCCCACCCACTCCCACCAGCTTAACCTGACTCTCTCCTCTCGCCATTCTCCCCACGCCCTGCATTTCAGCCACTCTGAACTGTTTACTGTTTTCTGCATCCACCTGACTCTTTTCTACCTTTTTCCCTCTGCTTATTCTCCTCCCTCTGGCTAGAGTTCCTCCCCCATGCTCCCCTCCTCGTCTAGTTACTTTCTACTCTGTTCAGGCATCCCTTCCTCCAGGTTTCCCTAAATTCCCTGCCTTACAGCTTGGTAGGGGCTTTTTGCCTATATTTCCACAATAACCTAATGCATATGTCTACAGCATAACAGCCATACTGTTATGTAACTATTCTATTACATGCCTATCTCCCCTAGACTATGAATTCTTTGAGGCAGGTCAATGATACCCACCCAGCACAGAGCCTGGTCCCCAGTACATTACTGAATGAAAGAATTAATGAGGCAGAAGAAGAGGTTCAAAAACACAAATATGGAGTTGGGTGCCCTGGCTCAGGAGTAAAATGTCACCCCACTGCCCCCCTGCTAACTATCCTCTCATCTGCCCATGGGCCACAGGGAACATGTCTGGGAACCGCCGCACTGCCAACATCAAGAGCCTAGGTTATTCAGACCTGTTCTGCCTGAGCAAGGAGGACCTGAGGGAGGTGCTGAGTGAGTATCCACAAGCCCAGACGGTCATGGAGGAGAAGGGACGTGAGATTCTGCTCAAAATGAACAAGTTGGATGTGAATGCCGAGGCAGCTGAGATCGCCCTACAGCAGGCCACTGAGTCCCGGCTGCGAGGCCTCGACCAGCAGCTTGATGATCTGCAGACCAAGTTCGCTCGCCTCCTGGCTGAGCTGGAGTCCAGCGCACTTAAGATTGCTTACCGGGTCGAACGGCTGGAGTGGCAGACTCGAGAGTGGCCAATGCCTGAGGACCTGGCTGAGGCCGATGACGAGGAAGAAGCTGGGGAGGGAACTTCCAAGGATGGGGAGGGCAGGGTCGGCCAGGGGGGACCCTCAGGTCCAGAGTGGCTGCATCGCCATCCACAGGACTCCCACCTCTGAGTAAATCCAGATTTGTAGGAAAGCCTGCCTGCAGAAATTCTTCCATCCTGTCTGCTTGGTCACAGAGATGGGAGCATATTGGTCTGTGGATGCCCAGCTCGAGGTGTAGGAGCGTAGCACATATTCATCCTCCACTTACCAGCAGTACACACACACAGTTGCACATACACATGCTGGTCCCAAGACTGTGCATTCCATCCAGAATGCTCTGGAGTTTCCATTTGGAAAGTGTACATGCTTTTTCTCACAAGCACAGATATGTCTTACATTCATATAATATATACATACATTCAGCCATGCTCCTCCTAAACACACATATGCTGTCAGTCATACACCAACAGACACATAGGTGCTCTCCAAAGGTGTGCACACACTTGTGAGAACACACTTTGAGCCCTCTAGGTCCAAGATGTCCTTTGAATTGACCCCCATATGGGTGATTCATAAGTGTACCATGAATGTTGCACTTCAATAAAATGTTTTCCTTCTCTCTAAGCATTTATGGGGCTGGAAATAAAAGGCAAATCCAATGGTGGGCCAGGGTGGATTCTGTCTGAATTCTGAGTCACAGGGGTGAGGGGCCTGTGTGGGTTAGATTCAAAGAGGTTGTGGTTCCCAAAGAATAGAGAATCAATACTAGCCAAGGCAAAGCAGGCTTTTGCATCACAGTGCTGTGTGAGATAGATAGATAGATAGATGGATGGATGGATGGATGGATAGATAGATAGATAGATAGATAGATAGATAGATAGATAGATAGATAGATAGATAGATAGATAGATAGATAGATGATAGGCAGGCCGGCCATTGCATCCCACACCAGAGTGTATGTTCTCAACTTTGTGAACTCTGAGGGACTTGATCTCGTTTAGTGAGCCAGAACAGATACCTTTGCTTCTTTTTTCCCCTTGGCCCAGCCCTGGAACCTGGGGCTGGTACTTTCCTGCATTCAGAGCTGATTCCAACGGGAGAATAGTGCCCAGGACCACTTGCCTGGCCCGGTCCCACCATACCAGTTGTTGGAGCTGGTTTTGGTGCTGACAGAAATCCAGCCTTCCCTCTTTGCACAGTATTCCAAAATATAGGGGGGAGAGTAAAGGGTAGGTGGAGTGGAATACCATGGTCAAGGACAATTAGAGATAAATGCGTCAGGAGTTTTAGAGTAACTTTGTTGTACTTGGAAGGAGGGCTGCCTGGGATGGGGCAGGGAAGATATTGTACAGTCCGTGGGGAGGAGTCTGATGTCCTCTCTGAATCAGATTCACCCAGGGTCACCATTTCAGCTCCTCCAGGGCCTAGCCAGTCTTCATGTCTGAGCTGTGCCAAGTGGTATTTTTAAATGTACCCAGGATTGAACTTACAGGTATAACTAAGTGAAGAGTTTCTACCCTCAGGAGACATTATAAAGGCCATAGCACTTTAAATCATTTAAAAATATACAGTTATTTTGTAATATCTGCCTCACAGAATATAAGATTCATAAGGCTGGCATTTGATCTGTCTTATTCATCTCTGTGTCCCCAGGGCCAAAACTGCCTGGCACATAGTAGGCACCCAAATATATATTTGCTAACCAAAGAAGGAGAGTTGAACCAGATAGAGACCAAATATTGGAGGAAGATGTGTGTCAATTTCTCAAGATGTTTTTCTACCATCTCTGCCCTCAAATCACAATGAATTAGAATGAGTGATATGCTGTGAATGCCATTTTGGTGGTATCTGATGGATTTGGGGAGCTGAGAATAAGCTTTTCATTGACACATTACAACACTACATCCTGTTCCAGTAAAGGATCTCTTAGAACAAGTGCACCTGCTACTCTATAGAATCCTGGTCCAGGGCACAAGTAGGGGGATAACTGGTTACATAGCTTATTCTGGATGTAGAAATGGCTTCTCCAGAGCTACAGCCTCAGAGCAGTCCCTCGAGAGGTGGGAACTCTAGTTCCTCTAGAGTCTTGAACAAGGAACACACCAGCATCACCAGCATGGTCTGAATATCAGAGGCCTGGCCCCAGATGTTTGTCCAACATAAAACCCCCAGAGACTTTTGCAAGACTCTAAATTAGGGAAGAGAGAGTGGAAAGACAGCCACAAAACACAACTAAGACTAAGTCTCCCATAAAGTAGTCATTGAAAAAAATGAGAATTGTCTGATTTAGAGAATCAAGGGCATGTCCAATAGTTTACACACAATTATACAATCATTCATAACACACTGCTATACATAGGTTATTTCATTTGGTTCTTGTAACAATGTTAGGAAAGTTAAATTATTGTTATGCTCATTTTTCCAGATCAGGAAACTGAAGCCCATACAGCAACTAAAAACAGTAGATTTTATTTATTGAGAAATTATAAGTACTTTGTTCCAAAGCCTGGGCTAAGTGTATTTGTCTCAATTAGTCCTTACAATTATATGAGAAAGATGCCTTTATTACCCCATTTTGAAACCAAGGCTCTGGGATTAGATAACTTGCCCAATATCACAAGGCTCCTAAGTCACATGGAATGAAACCCAAGTCTGTCATACTGTTTCTTTTAGGAAGATAAGGAAAGGAACTACATCAGCTTGAGGTTAAGGCCAAGCAAGCTCCTTCCTTTCTTGAGAATGACCCTCATGGGCAGTAACTGTGGCAACTGGGGGAGAAGGAGCCAGTTGTCAGGCAAAGCTTGTGAATTGCTGGCAAGGCTGCCTGCAGGCAAAGACAAGGCACTGCCCACTGCTCTGGAAAAGAGTTGCTAATTCCAGCCCCAGAGTCCACACCCACACAGCAGTGAGAGGAGGGCAGGGCTTTGGGAGCCACTGCTAGACTTCTACAGCGTTTTCAAGGCTGTTCCAAGGGCCCTCCTGCTGAGAGCCCAGATGCTTCTGGCTTAGCTCTCCTTCCTCCCACAGGACCTCAGGACCTCCCACAGGCCTCACCCACTTCTCTCCTTGGTGCAGGACCCTGGAATGTACACCCTCCTCAGTGTTCCCGGTTAGCTACTCCCCCATGGCAGTTTCTTTGGCCCACCCCACCCCACCCTTTTCTTTCTTAGGGTTTGGCTGCTAGCCCCAGAAGACAGATGGAAATAAAGTATCAAGCTTGGGAAGAAATCAGATTCCTAGCGAATAGGGCCATTCCACCCAAGGAGAGATCTAGTGCAAACACTAGGAGCCAGGAGCAGGAGGCAGTGTAGGTTGATTCCAGTTTGAGGCTGACGCTGACATAGGGCTCCAGGTGAGGGTCAGAAATGGATCATCAAGCTGGGTCAGAGCTGGGATCACAGCCTGGCTCACATCAGGGCGAGTGTTAGGCTGGCCATAAAGTACAACGGATGGAAAAGGGCATGTATTTGAAGCCAATCAGAGTTGAGTTTTTGTTCTGAAACATTGTGTCCCAGCTGGGGGAGTCTCAGACTCTGCTACAAAATCTTTCAGGGTTGTTGAAAGAAATGCTGAAGACTTAAAAGGTAAATAAGATAATGAATGTAAACTGCCTACCAGTGCCTGGAAGATAGCAATTCCTTAATAACGAATAGTAGCTATGACTCTTACTCTCGTCCTGCTGGCAGCTAGCTGTTATGTCTTTGAGGGCCCTGGGCACAGGCTGTGCTGCTCTTGCCTGTCTCAGGCCTCTGGCTGCACCTTCTGATTGTGCCGGCAATGCCCGGTCTTGGCCAGCAGAGAGCGCAAGACACTCCTTCCCTCCCCTCCTTCCAGCTCCCTCCGGGGCCTCAGGATTGCATCGCCTGGAAAAGCTGGGAGAATTTCCCAGGGATAAACTCAATCACAGGGTCAGGAAACAATGTTGGGGAATCCTGATCTCAAGTGGTCTGTGAAAACTCTCGTTCGGTTTTTTCACAAGGGCTAAAATACATCAGTGGTGAGGCTGAGAGACATTACTGAGGAGGTCAGCAGCCCTGTGGCAGGCAGCACCACTGAATGCTGGGAACATTCAGGACTGCCTTCCACACAGATTGAAAATTCCTTGTGCTTTTCACCTCCAGAGGCCCAGGGGCCCTCTCTGTGTCTGTGGTTGCCGTTCCAGTTTTGGTGCCTTGGCCTGTTATCCTCAGCCTTTCCCTTCACCAGCAGGTCCCCAGAGGCTGCTAACTTGGGTGCGTTCATTGAAGCCCTCTCTCTGAATGGTCTTCCTTTGGCTTTTTAAACTTTCATTTAAGGTTAAAATCTCTCTGACCTGAGAGATCCAGGTCCCTCATGGCCCACCTGTGAGGGTCAATGTCTGAAGTATGGCCATGAGGCCAGAGCCAGCCCCGCGTATGTGCCTCTGCTTACACCAACGTAAGGTCCAGGAACCTAGAAGGCAAGTCCTTGCTCTGGTTTCTTTTCTCTCCCCAACATTCCCTGCCTGCTCTGACTCTAGCTCATCTGCCTTCTCAGCCAGCTCCCTCTGTTTAATTATCCCAAGAGAAGGGCCTCCTGTGTGGGCAGGGAATGTGTGGGCAGGAACTCAGTACAGAAGCATATCTGCATATCAAAAAATGCAGAGAAAAGGCCTTGAAATGTGGAGATGTGAGATGTGGAGAGAAGGCAGCCTAATCAGACACAGAGGGAGAGGCTGAGCAAAGGGGGAAAAGGACGAGCTGAGCACCCCAAGGACCAAACTATGGCTGGTTTCTCTCCTAGCACTGGATCCCAGCTGCAAGTGTGTGCACCAGAGAGCCAGGGGCCTGGAGGCAGAGCCTGTAACATGACCCTCATGCCACTACATCTGTGAACACTGGGTTTCCTGGGTAAAGCACTGATATTCTGTGGACCTGCAAGCTACCTAGAATAAGCAGTACCTTATAAAGCAGGCTATCTGGCTGTGCATTAGGCACCATATCCTGCTCTCTGTGGTTGTTTCCCCTGAATATTTACTGAAGTGTTACTTAAATGTTCCCCTCTTATCTCAATTGTGATATAGGATATTGAAAGAAGGATCATTTGCCACACTTAGACTAATGGGGCAGTGTCATTGCTGATTGAGACTCCCCAAAGGGGAAGGTAAACTGTTCCAGCTACAAGAATCAAACTAGGTGGTCCAAAATCCCCCTCCAAGAAAATAAAAATAAAAACCAAAACCAAAGAACAAATAACCTTGGCAGGTTTCTGACTTATTCCTGGACAAGGGTCCAGGTCTCTCTCCTTTGGCTGCTGATATTGACTTTGCAGTTCCCTCCTTCCTCTGATCTAAGGCCTCCCTTCTTCCTGGCCCTGAGTAATCCCATTCTCTCCAAATGCTGGATTATCACTGACATAGATGGAATTTCCTAATTTTGAGAAATGAGCTTCTACCCCATTTGGTACTATATTTTCATCCTCTCCCCTTCTCTCCTCTGCTCATGATACCCCCCTCTTCTTCACTGTATCTATTACTTAGGTTTTATCCTGTTTACAAACTATCTTCTTGAAATCAATCTATACCCACCATTTCCTGGCCCTCACCTCACATCCCCCATCTGCATTTAGTTGGAGGGGAGAATATGAGCAAGGTAAAAAGAGATGAACAATATGACATGCACAAAGAAACTA